ACTAAAGATGGAAGCCAAGAGTGTCAGAGTGGTATCAGTTTAGATGTATGCTCTGTGAAAACACATTTATACTTCAACCTAAGTTCATGTACTCCTGGTATACCCAGTAAGTATTCCCGTATAATCATTTTATGACCATGGGTCAAAGTTAATAGAACAAAACTAGCACTGAAGAGATGATCTATAACATTAGCTATACCTGTAATATAATTTAATTAATGTGTTATTTACATGTAAAACAGTATTGCCTCAGATCAGTAACAAAACATTTTATGTATACAGCGTCGCTCAGTATTAAACAGTATTCCATAGAATTGTGAAATGAAATGAAATGAAATGGGGTTAAACGTCCTACTGTTCTTCTAATGAAGACGGGCATACGCCATGCAGTGTGGTATGGGGGAAATTTTGCCCGGGCAGCGGCACTATCGCCTACTCTTATATCGAATTCCAATTGCCAAGGGATCTTTTAAGTGCATTCCAATATATACACGGGACCTCGGTTTTTCGTCTCATCCGAAGGACTAGACAGCTGTCCTTGTCAGGCCCTCCGTCCTGCATCACTGACAAGGGGGAAACCACGCCGGAAAATATGGATGAACTTTCTCGGCCAATGCAGGGGTCGAGCACCCGACCTCCAGGCTAGCGACCCAGCTTCTTGGCCACGTGACCCCCCCCCCCCCCCCATAGAATTGTGATCCATGCATTTCCAGTTCAGTAACTAAATGCCAAATAATAAACAATTTATTATGTATTATTTGTCTGGAGCAATGCCCGGCGCCTTTGCTGTCAGTATTATAACATTAGGTATTTTATGGTGTATTCTTTTTATGAAATGTCATTCTCGGATGCTTTTGATTTTGACTCTATTAGGGACACTCTATGCAGATATCAAAATTGATGACCAATTCCACCATTGAAATAAATAATCTAAATTAAGCAAGGATGTACTGGATTGTCCCGAAGCTATAGCTATTATAGATGCCCTGTTTGCCAAGTGTTAATAGAGAACAAGACAACTAAATTAATTGTTTGCTTAGAAGTATGGCGATTAAAGAAAAAGCAACACGACAATTCGATTCGATTCGACGGTACCACAGCCCTTTAGACTGCTGGGGGATTGTTTATCTTGCACCTAAATCTGATCCTATCCAATTTTTTGAGCCTAAATACTTTTATATTAAATATTAATTCTATTTATGTGTAGTTTGATGGCATTTTTAATGTTATATGAGTTTGTTTTATCTTACTAGGTGCGCCAAGATGTATGTTTGTTACAGAGACCAACAATGTGACATATTTAACGGTGTACTCTGATACTGATAATAAGTTTGGCTGTGTGGTATGTGTCTTAAATTGCAAATATGTCTCTCAAACACTTGTGTTTACTTACAATAATGTATATTTAAAGAGCCATCGTGTAAGAAGGCCACTAACACTTTTTTATATGTTATGAAATTAAATATAAGGGCCGATAATTGTTATAATATATGAGATCAAAACATAAAATGTGAATGACGCCGATGAACTTAGTGGCTACACGTCTAATCTGCTTGATAGCGTCACACTGAAATCAATAGAAAGTAGTGTAAACTTTAAATGACTTGAATATTAACCAACGTGGAGTACGTCTATATTTCTTTCTGGCATATTGTTATTTGTAAATGTCATGCAATCTCAGCGACCCCTCCCGAGTTTTGATTATTGACTGTAGAGTTAGTGATTGAATATTTATATTAATATTGATTAATTCGAAGTTTGCAATTGCGTGTCACAAATTTAATTAATTTGTGTCGTTATAGGCTGCGTCTAAAGAGGGGAACACAGTCTTTTTGTCTGAAAAAGAAGGGGATTGTTCAGAGAATCAGAATGGAACCAATGTCGCTCTCCCGGGATACCTCATGGAACTGATGCTTATCAATAACGGTATGTATAGGTCAAGGATGTCTTACACAATTTATCAACTGAACATTTTCTTCAAAAAACATTGAAATATTTGTGAATCCTCTTCTCAACCAATTCCTGCTTGCTTTCCGCTTATCAGAGTTCAGGGCGTTGAGACAATGACCAGCGTCTAATCGTTCGGATGTGACGATAAACCAAGGTCCCGTGTACACATTAGCATACACATAAACAGTCCCTTGACAGTTGAAATTCATTCAATTGCTGTATAGCTTGTTTCCGAATCCATATAATTAATAATGTATTTTGTATTGTGTGTAATTATATGTTAAATAGATACTGTTTAAACCAATCGCTTTCCGGGCAAAATTCCCCTCATATCACACTGTATGGCATGTATTAGCTCTGTTGATTGATTGATTCATTCTCCTCAATCAGCATCTAACTTCGAACAGGGTCATTCTGTTCGGATAAGAAGGAACGTATCTTTGGCCTGTATTGAGATTTGCTGTTCTCCAATCAGATTTGCACATATTATTATATTTAAAACGGGGACTTTTCAGACAGATCTTCTACTGACAGGCAGATCGTTTATAGTTGACATATAAAATATATGTATATAGTACATATTACTTCAAAACTTTAACATCCAAATAACAAATCTATTTTGTATGGAAATAATAGATCGTATATTTCTATATAGGAACTGCACATTGTAGAGAAGTGGTAACAGAAGCACCAGAAAATGGTAAGGACATGAACATCTCTCTTTCTTTATGGATGTCAGCATAATTAATGAAAGGAAAATAACAAATTTAGTAATGCCGTACTTGAAATGACAATAATGCAACCTACGGGAACAATTTTCCTCTCATTTAGATACAAGAAACTCTATCCTATCCAGTTGTCAGCGAGTAACGACAAACTAAAAAAATGTGTATGATAACGACGAACCAAATATTTATGGAGTGTCTGTGGTCAATAGCGCGAAAGATACCGCGATATTAAGATGGTAATATCTCTGTCTACATATTGTGATTGTTGCGATTTTACCACTCAAAAGACAATTTTTGCCGAGTTAATTTTATCAGTACACTGTATGTTAACATTTCGTTCTTAATGCGCGCGTTTGGGTTAAGATATTGCTATTCTGAAGTTTTGTCAACATATTCCATATATCGCAATGTTCCATGCTGACATATACTATACGGCGAATTGGAATATGTTGACAATGCTTCAGAATGGCAATATCTTAATGCATACGTGCGCATTATCAACGCAATGACGACAAACAACATGTGGCGTTGACTCAATTAATTCAGCTAAAATGCTCTTTTCAGAGTTAAAATTATTTCAACAATCACAAATTTAATGTGTTGACATATGACCTTATTAATATCGCGCTGTCTTTCGTGACATCGACACATACGCTTCCATGAATATGTAATGATAATAGACACATACATGGTGTATCGATCAACAATGTCGTGATTGTATTAAACCATAGACTGTTTAAAATGCAGATTCAAGTCCAGTTAGTAGATATCCCTGTTAAGCAGTTTCCATGTTAACAGTTTACCACGAGACGCTCGATTGAACGTTCCGGAATTGATTTCTGTCAAACCCAAATATAGTGACAATCGAGAGAAAATGGGGATTTTGGGCTAGAACGCATGTTCCCACTGCATATGAAAATATCTCAACCAATCATGACAGCTGAAATATATTCGTTGTGTTTAATTACGTCATGATTCTACTCACACAACGTCAGTTGTCGGGACTGTCAAAACTAGAGAGGACTGAATTCAGTTTCACACGATTGCAATTCCGTCACTTAGGAACGTTCCGGACTGACAATCGAGCATCTCCAAGAAGTCATTACAAGAGAGCAATTACCAATAAATGTTTATGGACCTATGATCCCACCACCACCATCAACTACATATTCTTCTTGTTTGACGGAATATTACTGTAACATTTTTTATAATTTCTCTTATCTTTTTATTATAGATAAAACTACTACTACTGCAAAGCCAAAGGTATGTACCAATCATTAAGATATATCGCCTTATTTGGTAGATATCGCCATGATGTCTGAATATCTTCGTAAACGTGGATGCCAGTGTAACGTTCTTATTTAGGAATGGATCTACTAATGAAACTATAAAATGAGTGTATATTCATGGTAAATGTTTAGTCCGGTCCACTGGGATATCGCCAAGTTACCAAAATGAATTTCTTTTTTTTTTTGATTGTTAGCGTAAACTTCTATATGCGTAGATCTAATAATTAATAAACTTGTCTTACCTTTCAGGGTGGAGCAGAAGCCATCTCTACCAAATGGGTGATCCCAATGATAGCAATTTTGACCACGCTCTTAAAGTATTTTGCCTAAATGTTTAGGCAACCTAACATATTTATTTTATTTTTAAAATATATTTTGACTATTTATGTATGGACGGAGCATGGAAATTGAAAGAGATGGTTATTTTTTTTAATTTATTTATTTTATGTATGCCTATATTTTTAATATTGCTATTTTCGTCATGTAATGTTTGCGAACATTACCAAGTTTTAACCTAATAGGAAGATGTTATAATAATATGCTGCTTTGATAAAAGATATTGTAGCGTATCACGTCAAATACATTTTATATTATTGGTGTAAGAATATTTGAATTAATTCTAACATATATAATTAATTTAAATGATATCTAAATTATAATTTGCTCAAGTTCACAATTCCATGTCCGCAACTGCCAGTGAAAGGTAGATCAGGAGGTTTTACATTGGGTCGTGGGGTTTAACTGCTCGATCTTCCCATAACATTTTACTTTACAAAAATTAAAAATTCTATTATCGAACTGTTGCTTTTCTCTGTGTTGGTTTTCGATTTTTAAAGATGGACACTGTAGGTTTTCACTGGTTGTTACAGCACAAAATGGGATATTGGATGAGATGAATCAAATACAAAGAGCATGTTACAGCTTGTCCCAATTATGTTTGATCCATAATAATTTAGTATATTTATTTGTTTTAATTATAATACTGTTTTTTAGGAATACTATGAAAATGTCTAATAATTATTGGATCTATGGTTTTACTTGCTTTGCAATCTTATTTAAAATTTATTGTCATAAAATAAATAATTTCTGGTTCACAAAATATTGGTTTATTGAAATTCATATAATTCCCACATCAACCATCTATGGCTGCTGAAGACAAATTTGTAACGGGTTTTTTCTTACATATTGCACAGAATTGACGACTTTCACTCTTTGCCGAGGAGCATCTGAAATGTAAATTAAAGATACATTATGGGAGATTAGATAAAGAGCTGGCAGTTCTCATTCTAATAGTTAAAAACTAAATAATGTAAAGGGAATTTGCTGAAAATTTCAGTCAAATTGATCCACCCTGAACCGAGATTTTAGCGATTGAATTTTCGGCCTAGTCTCGATCATCATTCCTAAAGTCAGTACGATAAAAAAAAACCATAGTCTCGATTATCCAATTCATGATTAAATTATAAATGGAAGTCGAACAGGAAATCGGAACCTAATCCAATAAACATCACAGGCTATAGCGATGACATCGTGAGTTGATTATGATCTGGATAAGTTAATTAATGTCTAATTAATAATTAAGATAACATTTCGGGCCTAAAGAAAGATCTGTCATAGGCAGATTTAGCTCTTGCATAATGTATGTTTAAGATCAAAATTTATAATGGAAGCCCGTTGCGGCCATTTTGTAATCGCATCTTCTCACCGTGATAAGTCGAGGCGTAATTGTAATGTTTGAGCCACGGTGCCCAGTTGTCCTGTTAGGTACCATTCATAAAACCATTCCAAAGATGTTGCTCATGGGTAAGTAATGGCTACTCAGGAACGCTGACTTGATAACGTACGGACGTACACTGACTGACCAGCGTTGCCATCCTAGCATCGATCTAGAGAGGGCTGATTCGTATTAAGGTTGTGTGCCGGTGGGCAGTAGGGTCCCAAGTCTGCTTAGTTTATGACATTGCGCTTCGATGTAATTATATTTTTAAAAAGCTATGTATTGTCATGCAATGGTCGGGTGGGGGTGGAGGGGGAGGGGAGAAGTTGAAAGTGCATTGCGACAAAACAGGGCCAACCCCAGACTACTTGTCTTGACTTCTCACTTCTTCGGCAATCAATATCTCTACAACTCTCTGCCCCGAATTTAGAATTCCTCGTCTTTTCGCGCCACCACCCTCGCCACCGATGACTTGCCCATGGCTTATCGACCTCTAGCTCTTCCCCTCACATTTGAAAGTACTCGAAGAAAGCGCGAGGCAGTGAAAAATCAAGGATTTTCTGAAGCGAGAAGTCGATGGGTGACGGTGGTGCGAGAGGACGGAGATTTGTTAGTTGGGCCAGCTTTGGTTCATTTCGTCACACACTGTGATTCGATATAGTGTAGTTTAGTTACATGCAGAACTTAGAAAAAAAAAATTCGAAAGACCTCACCTGCCGTGTATAAAATGACCACATATTAATACTGATAGACGTTCAGGCTGTTGTCCCATCATATCATCACACATTCCACAATACAAATCAGTTTCTTCAGCTAATTGTTTCATTAAAGTATGATGTCTACTAGATAGAGTAGTCTCCCTTGTATCAAAGTACAACGATTTTAAACTAGAATGGCATCGCAGCATCTGAAGCTTTATAAAAGAATGATTGATGTTATATATTCACGAAAGATATCTTCTTGATATATGATTTTGTTCTAAAATGATTTTGGTTACGTACTATATTATTTTTTACGTCCATCATCACGGAGATCCTCCACGAAAGACCTACAGTGTAATGATAGAGAAATCTAACATCTCTTTTCAAGACAACGATGCCCAATTCTCTTAATAACAGGCACAACATTGTATGGAATTAACGAAACTCGGAAACAACAAAACTATCAGTATCATCAGTGAGGGCAATGGAAAATTCCTTGTTCCAATGCTACAGATTTTAGTTTAAACGCTCTCTCCGATTGGTGAAGGCCTACTTGTGCAGACACACGGTAAATTATCATGAAAAACAAGGCAGCGCATGCCGAAATCGTCATTGTGCCCGCGCCGATTTTGAATCAGATGTTTTTGTCACGGATATCTCAAAGCTTCCTAGTATAATCCACAGAGTGTTTTCACTAACCTCACTTACCTGTAGGCGGGATATTCTGTTCAGGATTAAACTAAAACACACCTACCTTATTGCCAACTTTCTGTGCTATTTCAAGAGCTTTCAGTGCCAGTTCAATTGCCTGAAGAAAACAAATTTTCTAATAATCACCAAAAAAACTATTAGTATTCGATTGACAAGTTTACAGCTTTCTAAATACAAATCGTTACGGATAAAAGCCGATTGTGATCAATGATATAAAAATGAGAGATTGTTTTCGGACCTAAAATACGTTTCTCCGACAGCTGGATCTGACGACTGTAGATTACACGGTTACAGACTAGATTCATAGAAAATAAAACCGATAGGATGGCAATTAGCAGATACACGAGTCTGCCGACATGGCCGAATAACACTATATTTAGGACCATACAAAATCAAACAAGTACCTTTTAATTTTAATTGCATTATCATTTAACGCTTTCACTGCTTTCTATTGATTTCCAACCACCGTCTTTATTATGTGTCTTAAAGAAATATAATTCTGTTATATTTTGCGTACAAACAAATCCTTTCTTCACGAAGCTATTTTTTTTTAAAAAATAGGATTTACGTTAATAACAAAAGTATAACAACATTCTTTAAAACAAAACAGTAGATATTTTTGACCTTCGAACGATCTAGTTACTTCTTCCCTTAATCTGATTTAATATATATTTTAATATGCTCATCACTATTAAATAAAACACAATAGCAGCAATACAAAGTCAAATATTAGTGTACAGTCTTGCCATGTATGTCAAGTTTTGCTACGCAATCAGGGTCGGATTAAGCTTGCATAGGGCACCTGGCTGAAAATATCACTAGGGCCCTTGCAACAACAATGAATACGGTGCATATTCTGGTGATTATCCTTCACACCCACACAAATAGATTTATTTGGCATAAACCTACATAACATAGTAAATAAAATCATAAATCATTTTTTAGAACTAATTTGGGGGCCCCTAAAACATCGGGGCCCATGACTGGAACCCAGTCAGCCCCCCCCCCCCGCTCTTAATCATGGTCTCTACGCAATGAACATAAACTAAAAAATGTTTATGCAATTAATATATCAAAAGATTGAAATATATATGACAAAGTTTTAGATGTATGGATAGTGCAAATTAGATATACAACTTTGTTTAGAGATATAACACAGAAATGGGTAGAAATATCACCGAAGACATGTTAAGCTATGGTACATTTTAAAGCTTGATGAACCCTAGACATATTAATTATTTATGAGCGAAATTTCAAATAGACCCAGTATATTGATATAAACTGCCAACGCTCTATCAAAAAGTTAAAATTTGTGTGAAGCACTTTATTTATTCATCCAAAATTGTAAACATGTAGCACCGTGGGTCGTCTATCAGACGTGGAAAGCGGACACGCACTAAAACCAGTCGCCACATCCGGCGTATGACCCGTGCATTCTTTTCTTACTACATATCTTAATAGGCTTGTGATCGTCTAGTATTTTCAATTGTCTTATTTGCTTCCTTTTCACGTTGTGTATTCTCTTCTTACTATCTCAGTAGTTAAGACAATTGTCTTCTCAGTAGTTAAGACATTTGTCTTACCGGGAATAAAAATGCATCTGTTCGTTTTTACATTTTATATCAAGCTGGGTACATATGGTTAGAATGCATAATAGATTACATTAACATACTTAAAATTAAACATACATTATGCAAGAGCTAAATCTGCCTATCTCAGGTCTTTCTTTAGGCCTGAAATGTTATCTAAATTATTAATTATACATCAATTAACTTATCCAGACCATAATCAACTCGCGATGTCATCGCTAGCCTGTGATATTTATTGGATTAGGATCGATGATTAGGATGCTTTAATCATGAAATGGATAATCGAGACTATGTTTTTTTTTTATCGTACCGACTTTAGTAATGATGATCGAGGCTAGGCCGAAAATTCAATCGCTAAATTCTCGGTTCAGAGTGGATCAATTTGACTGAAATTTTCACCAAATTCCCTTTACATAATCTAGTTTTTAACTATTATAGTGAGAACTGCCAGCTCTCTATCTAATCTCCCATAATGTATCTTTAACATCTTTCTCTCAATACCATTCCACCCAGACTCGCTGCTGAAAGAAATTGTTTCATCTTCTCTGTCCTGTGTCTGGAATCCAGCGGCTGTCTGACAAATGCTCAGTCTTGCAGCTTTGGATTTGGACCGTTAATTATCTAATTGGTCAAATAACGTAATTGATTATAATGATTGGTTAATTAGCCTAATGATGTTGAAAATCACCCTTATATGGACAATGGCAACTTACCACGAGAAGTGTCACACGTGTTATTTTGTTATTAACCTAGAATTAAATGTTTACCAAATTATAACTCTTTTTATGTCGAAATCCGTCACTCATTATTTAAGTGCATTAGATATGATTTCAATACAATGTGTTTATGTGAACCCAATAATTAGTTAAAGATACAACACGCAAAACATGCAAACTCAGTGAAGTATCAAATCAACAGATATTTTAGATGCAACACAGAATGCTGAGACTGACCTTTTGTGGTTTGAGCAAATTTGTATGAGTTTTGGACATGCCCAAAAGTGCATCTACTTGTCCAACTCGGTCACCTATTCGTTCCATTAAACTAAGTGCAGATTCGTATCTTGGTAGTGCCCTCTGTTTTTTTTAAAAAAGAGAAAATAATCAATTATCTTAAATAAGATTAGATACCTCGTTGTTGTTTGTTCTTCTTTAATTGTGTACATAAAGATTTACAACTTTCAATGCGCAGGACGAATGACTTAACCCAAACAATATATAGAACTGGATTGATCTAGCAAATGGTTAGTTTATGGGCCCTTATAGACGAAAACTTAAACTAAGATACAATCGAAATTTTAAGAAATACTGCAATTCGATTGGCTGACCAGTAAAATCAATTTGCATATATCCAATTTGCATATCTTAAGATTGTATCTTAGTTTAAGTTTTCGTGAATAAGGGCCCGGGCTGTTCTGTATAGTTAGATTAACCATACCCTAAACCAACCCACATACACAGGTATTGTCAAAGGTTTCAATCTACGTGACGCTTTGAATTCCCAACCACGGACTTTTCCACCGCAATACATTGAATGCTTATTTTGATATGAACATAGGAATTTCGTTTTTCTATTGTATATCGACGGCATTACAGAGTGATGGGGGTGGGATGGAACCAGACTGTGAATTCCAACTGCCACTGGCTCCTTTAAACGACCAAGAACTTATACACGAGCTTTACAAGTGGGAACCGGCCTTGGAAATTCCCCATGTTTATTCTCAGTCCACGTCGATATTTGACACCAGGGACTATTGTCTAACTGTGGGAATATCGCTACTATGCCCTCAAACTTTATATTATATAATCAACACATAATTGCTAACCTGTTGTTCGAGACACAAATTAGTTTTTTCTGATAACGACAGAAATTCCTTTGGGTTTTTTCAATCGGTGTGAAATGTGATCAATATTAAGAAACAAGTAACAGAACTTAATAATGTTCTAGATACCGGGTTCAAACCGAGAAGATCCCCAACCACATGTGAATAAATCTTTTATATAATCTATTAAAGGAGTGTCATCTTAATTCAAATCTTTTAATTATACCATGCCCTTGCTATTGATTTGTGTAATAGATTATAAATGAGGACTGCGTTTTTCTCGTTATAAACTTATTGATTGTTAAATACATTTATGGTAACAGAAGATGGAATGCGCGACGACTGTGATTTAGATCATTCATAAATCATTTCTTTATAACCAACTGATGTCAACTTGGTAATATCCTGATGATTTAGATTAATAATAACGGGAATGGGTTCATTGATTCATAGCCTTTTCGTGCTTCTTTATTTAAACTAAAACAACACAGCGGTCCTCTATTAAGAGCTTTCTGGCAGGTTGACCGATGACCAGTTTCGATTGACTCCCCAGACCCCTTTTCGCATTTTAAGGTTAGATTGTCTAGAATTTGAAACCAGTTCCATTTCCGTAACTAGTTAGCAGCGGCTCATACATTACCCACCTCATTATCTCCACGTCTACGATGTATATCAGCAAATAATACCATACATCTAACTTGTACCACAGTATCCCCATACAACATTGCTACTTTCATAGCATCCTACAAAAACAAAATCTAAAATACAAATTGCAAATGCAAAGATACAACAAAATTTTGTGAACTCCTCAGATGAGGTTTGATATCAGATGTTCTAGAATACGTAAGGACACCGCGGCTCGTGCATGACACCCGCCTTTACTTAAGACTAACTGTAGCGATGGTTTGTACCTGGATTCTGAATCCTGTTTGCCAGGTTCCCACTATCACGATTCGCGCTACGATTGAATTCAAAAATTTTCTACGCTCAACACGATTAATTGCCAATCGTGATCATCGCTTCAGATCGTATTGGATTGTAACAAAGCGCGACAGATCGCATCAAATCATGGTGATCGGGATCAGCCTTGGACAAGATAAACACCACGCTCTGGTAAATGCTTTTGCGATCTCTCTAGAAGTTCAGGAAACACTGAAGTCCATTCAATCGTTGGTCAAAATGTGATCACCTTCGATCCCGATCGTGAAAGACGTCGCTACCACAATCGTATCCAACACTAAAGAGCGCATCGGTTCCTGATGGTCGTACCGAAACGTATCCGAACGTATCTGCACGTGCCAGATCGTGGACTCAACAGGGCCAATCCTATCGGAACACATCTGAACGGAATACTAGATCGTGACAGATAGTGTCACCTGAAATTGACCAATCGTGACCATGTAACATGAAACCACACAGTGTCGTACTAGAACGTATCGACCCGCATCACCTCGTATCCAAACACGAAATTTCAGAGAAGTAAATAAAAATTCCACGATAAGCTAAAAATGGCCAATCGTCGCGGCAGTGGGGACCTAGCATTACCAAATGTGTAAACACTTAGTGATATAGTGTCGTCAGACATCTTTGTATACAGGGCATTTTTAAGGAATATGAAGCGCTGGGACGTATAAGAGGTACGGCGAGTGTGGGTAGTGGGGTGGGGGTCGGCTCTGGCGGGGTCTCTCCCGGGCGCGAGGAAATTTGTTTTTGAATTTTAGCATAGGTGTCAACGCCTTGCGCTTTGTGTTGCAAGTGTGATGTTTACCTATGCACCATTCCCTGGGAGCCGCGGTGGCTAGATGAGTAAGACGCTGACTCGCTAACCTGGAGGTCCCTAGTCCCTAGGCTCCTTGTCATTGGTGTATGACGGAGTGTCTGGCAAGTGAACGTATAGTCCCGTGTACAAATTGGCGTGCACGTAAAAGAACCCTTGATAGTTGGAATTCGAAAAAAGAGTAGGCCGTAGCACCGCTGACCGGGAAAAAAATGCCCTAATAGTACACTGCATGGCGTATGCCTGTCTTCATTAGCCCATTCGGGGCAGAAAAGTAGGACGTTAAACCCCATTTCATATCATTTCATTTCTGCTACTTTCCATCTTTAAAGTTTGGTGATGATGTGCCATTAAACACTATTTAATTCACTCCCTCTCCCAAATAGTACCAAATGCGCGTGATTTTCACGGGATAACATAATCGGCCCTTGTAGACACTGGGTCAATAACTGGCCTGTACTTTCTATACTAAAGATTAGTTGTGCAATTAACGTCCACTCGACACAAACCATGTCATTTCGGGACTAACACGTCGTGACACAGCCTTATTTCAATAATTTGCATGCGCGTCGGGCTCTTTAACAGTGGGAGGAAACCGGAAAGGGTTTGGCAGACGACCATACGCCTTGTTACAAACACAAGATTGGGCTTAAACCACTCCACCCGATTCAACGAAACAAGTCATGTAAAGGTTTGTTTCGTTGATATGCTCATAGAATTGTGAAATATCAACGCAAAACCCCGAATTTCGACAAGTCTTCTCTTCTTCGATTAACTGTAGAACATTTAGAAGAATTATGTCAGGGCGGACGAATAGTCGCGATGGCCGTCAGTATACTCCCAAATGAAATGTGGATATATGAAAATCGTTCTTAGAGCTATGCAAAAATCTTGTTAAAATTACATTCTTTCCAATTTCGTCTGTTTAACAGAATTTTCATCCCAGTTATCCTCAATCTCTTTCATCTCGAAAAACATAATAACATCTATCGATTCTGTACACGAAAAAACACAATTCGTTAGCTGTTTGTTAGCGGATTTAAAAGTGAGAAAATGTCGTGCAAGATTTTCTTAATTAACTGATAAATAGATAGATGTCTGCAATTTTTCTCAGCTTTTCATGTTAACCTGTCAATATGTCAACTAACGAGCGAGTAATTATCTTAACAAATACACCATATAAAAGAATAAGACTGACAGTTTTACATGGGTGAATGGAGTAAATAAAACTTGTATTTAAATAAAACCTTTTAACCATTGATTTGTTATTCTTTTTATTCTTTATCCTATAAAGGTCTATTCTAGTTAAGTTTATGTCAGTACTAAGATGTTGATCTGAATTTCGTACAAGAGGTAGGGAGTTCTTACGCTAAAATCTCAGTTCAGAGTGGATCAATTTGACTGAAATTTTCAACAAATTGCCTTTACATTATCTAGTTTTTAACTATTATAGTGAGAACTTCCAGCTCTGTATCTAATCTCCCATAATGTATCTTTAATCATAAATATTATTATTAAAACTTACCTCACATAAATCTGTGCAGTCCTTATATCTGCCAGTCTTTCTATATGGTACTGCAAGAGAAACGCCAACTAATCTTCTGTATTTTATATTAGGATCACTCTCTTTTATATCATTAACTAAATCCCAGGCTTTTGAACAATAATCTATTCCACCATCGTAATCATTTAAGGAGGTAAAAAGAATCCCAAGTCTTGTATTTACTAGAATTTCTATCAATTTATCACCATTAGTGTGTGCTATAGATAAAGCCGTATAATAACTTTTCCAGGCTTTGGGAAATTCACTTAAGCCGACGTAAGAATTACCCAAGCACAAATAAAGATAAGCTTTAAGCTGATTTTGAGTTTCATCTATCTGTAAACTATTTCGACAAAAAGATATAGATTTAGAGAATTCTCCTATCAACTCATTGCAAACCGCTAAGTGGAAAAATGCTTCTGACTTCATGCTGTTATCGTTGGATTGATTGGCTTGCTCCATCTGTTTGTTTGCAAAATCTAAGGCTTCACCCGTTTTGCCAATATCTAAATAACAGCGACAAATCTGACCATATAACAAAAATTCTTCTGAACTTTTCGGCTTTCTCGTGAGACAAAGCTTGAACTCTTCTATCGCCTCTTCAAATCTCTGTTCATCGTAAAGTCGAGCACCTCTCTCCGGTTCCTTCTTTGCTATTTTTTGGCCCATTTTTTTTTCAGTCTAAAAATCTGATGAACAATCCCTAATTAACAATACTATTCGTCAAAAATGGTAACTTGATGATGACAAGTAATTCATTCGAAGCTATAAAATAAATATTTAAGATGAATTAATTTAAGAGGAAGCCTTTAAATTAAAGAAGCACTGGAAATCAATTTAACTCAAAGCCTAGACATTGGCCCTGGTTACTTGTTCTTTCTAGAACACCTACGGAAAATGGAATGAAATGGGATTTAACGTCCCACTGTTCCGCACTGACTGGGCTTATGAAGACGGTATATGCCATACAGTTTGCTATGGTGGAAAATTTGCCCGGGACGTCAAGGGTTCTTTTACGTGCAATGTGTACACGGGACCTCGGTTTTTCGTATAATCCGAACGACTAAACGGTGTACCTAGGTCCGGTGCCACAAACAAGGGGGAACCACACCGGAAAATCCCGATGAACTTTCTACGTCAACTCGGGGATCGAAGACGAGACGTCCAGGTTAGCTAGTCAACGTCTTGTTCACTGAGCCACCGTGGCTCCCTCAAGCATTTGGAAAGCTGACACTATTATGTTAACCTATGCGATAGCGCATATGATAAAACACATATATTATACATACTGTAAAGTATGGCAGTTCAATATAACAACGTTTAGTATCATGTCCATTTACTGCTTGTATACGATAATATACATATATATGACATAATTGTGTGTAACAAAACACAAAGTTTCACGTAAGCGTACATGTATAACAAAAAACGCATTTTGTAACGTATAAGATAACATGATTTTGCAACACAGCTCTTCAGATTACGTAACATACAAACCACTTAACGTAAACTGACTACTTTTACCGTTAACACATCCTATAAATTACATTCAATATTTACCTCCAAATCAATTCTTACTTTTAAACATGAAGCAGAATGATGACTAGCAGGATGTCCAATCTAATCTCTTGAATGGCAAAAGCACGTATTTCTACACTTGGGTTCTTACCATATTAAAAACTGGCGTGTTAAATACGGATAGCATTAGAAGCTAACAATGTTCCTTTATCAACACACGTCACTGGCGTAATCCGACAGAAAGTCAATAAGAAACCATAATGTGCACCGTTGACAGTTCAACACGATTATAAAGATACTGCTACTTCTATTCTACACCGACTGGAATTATAATCAATAAAAATATACAATATTAATATATTATTATGTTCTGTTACCCAGAAATTAAAGATATACATAATCATTATTTACACAGCAGCCATCATTTTATTTTCTATTAATAATCAACTACTTGTATAAGATGTGTAAAGATTAAAGTAAGTGTTTGAGTTAAAGATGGGTTGTGTAAGATTTAGATATAAAACTGGTTGTTCTTGCTGTAATAGTTTAAAATATGTTGAATAGTTTAGTCAAATTATTTTTTTTCTGAGCAAAATTATGAATGATTGATATTTTAAAAGAAATGGTGCTAAATACTCTCGATTGTCACGTAGCATTGCTACCATAATAAACGAAGTCTCGATTTTCCTGATTTAACGTTTAACACAGATATGACGGACATTATATAATTAATTTAATGTATTAGTCTGTTAGCCACCCGATGGCTTAGAGAGTTCATTATGGGCTTGTCGTGTAAATAAATATCTAAATAATATTAATAATTTATATGACATTTGAAGCCAAAATAAAAACCTACAATAGTCAGATTTCGCTCTTACATAATGCATCTTCAAACTCTTGTTTTGCTTATCGGCGGATCAAATAATATATATAATCTATATTCTAATGACGACCACAATTAAGAAAAACATCCATTGTTATCATTTACTAATCAATTAATTGACCTCTCTAATGATTGTCCTGAACAATGCATGCCAATTGATTTTGTTATGAATTTTCAACACATAATCTTGTTTTAGGCGGTGTTTTATAGAAACGAACCCAAATCCTTTGTGTATTTTTTCCAGCCTGATGTGAAATCCAATCCTTGATAATGTATAACCCCCTTAAGACAACAAATTCCTACACTCTAGCCGCTCTAGCACGAATGACCTTGAGCGTAGATGAAGAAGTTCAGATACTATAACAGCCAAACCATATTCACCCTAAAGTCAATTTTATATTGTATTACGCGTGTGTTTATAAACAGCCCAAGAGCGAAGAAAATGATTTAGAGAATTTTTTTTTCATATATAGAATACATATAACTAAAGCACACACTTCCCTATTACAAAATGGGTAGCATGTATTTTAATTGCAAGATCTGTGGAAGATACAAGATGGAGATTGGTAGGATCAGTCATATTAGGAGATTTAATTATGAATATCCACAGGTACAAAAATGGTTTGCCAAATAAATGATCTTATATGGGTCATTCTCAAAATTTGCCCAAATTTCAGTCAGTAGCACAAAGCTCTAAAAATATTTATTTTAACATTTTTTCAAAGGTCATATCATTAAGAAGAATATATTTTGTTTCTCTTAAAGTTGTAAAATGGTATATTAAATGCTTATCGCCCTTGAAAATTATATGAAATACTGACTGCTCCTTTTGCTGATGACTTCCTCCTCATGGCTGAAGTTTTGAGGAGGTCAAATTTGAATTCCTGTAGAAGTTCTACGCAATTAAGTAAGTCTATTATTCACCATAACTTTTTATAGTGTCAGTGGTGTAACAGTGATTACTTGTTCATATGAACTAATTTAAAACATTTTGTATGTTAAGCAAATTAAAACTATTGAAACATCATCATTTATGTCATGTGGTCAGTATTTAGGGAGCATTTATTGTTATAAATGTTCATAAAAGTATGAATGGGTCAGCGGTGTAACAGTCAGTGGTGTAACACTAGAAAATGTTACACCATTGACAAAACTTTCCTTTTAGGCAATTTTTTTTGCAAAACTGAATTGGTTTGCCATACATCTATCAAGAGTTTTCTTTCAGACTGTTTATTTTATTCTTTTATTAAAGAGACCTACTATAAAAGTAATGTTGCTACATTTTATGTGCTAAAGTTTGCTAGATATGTTACGTCATTGACAAATTTGCTTGTTTTATCATTAAGCCAAATGTTTAAAAACCTGTTCTTTATTCTTTAATGACAAATAAATCATTTTAATCTTTATATGACAGTTTGTATGGCTTTTATCTTCAGTAATTTGCAAGAGAATCGGTGGTGTAACAGATCTTGTCAGTGGTGTAACAAAAATATCAGTGGTGTAACATACATCTTTGTCACACATCAAGATCCTTTTGCCAAACCCAGGATTAAATTGTGAAAATAATTAAATAAGTAAACTCACAATTAAAAAGAGAAAAAATGTGGATAATGACAACAGTGGAGAATCTTTTTTTTTATTTATTTAAAAGTGTGAAAATATAAACATTTATGCTCGTTACACCACTGACATTTTTTCCAAGTGGATAAATCAAAAACCTTATTATCAAAATATCTTATTTACTTACTGTGTGCAAATCATCATAACAGCACTTCTCAATGTGCTGAGCATTGCATAGAATACAAAAATTATTCATTTAGACGCTTTGTATTTTTGAATTTTTCAAGGTCTAAATGTGGCCATATTTTGAGAATGACCCATATTCATCGGGTGGGGGGGGCACGGTGGCTAAGTGGGTAAGGCGCTGGCTCACTAGCCTGCAGGTCGGGTGTTCGATACCTGCATTGGCCGAGAAAGTTCATCCGGCGTGGTTTCCCCTTATCAGTGATGCAGGACGCAGGGCCTGACAAGGACAGCTGTCTAGTCGTTCAGATAGGACGAAAACCGAGGTCATGTGTACACATTGGCGTGCACGTAAAATATGCCTTGGCAGACGGAATTCGATATAAGAGTAGGCCGTAGCGCCGCTGTATTTCCTTCACAACACACACTGTATGGCGTATGCCCGTCTTCATTAGCCCAGTTTAGGAGCAGAACAATAAGACGTTAAACTCCATTTCATTTCATTTCATTTCATAAATTCATGGGAAGTACAATTCGTTAAAAAGAAATGAGTGTCTGGGCCAGTTGCCTTTCGTAAGAAGAAAGTATGGTTACCTGTGATATTTGTATCCCTATGATATAAAGAATAATTTTGGTAACAATGGCTTTATCTATAGACGTATTATTGTCAAGAGGGGATGGAGGTGGAGGTGGGAGGTCGGAGGGCGTGGATGACCGAATGGTTAGCATGTGCGCGCTGTATCATAAGGTCTGTCATTGAGTCAACTGTCGAAGTTTCGATTTCCCGTTTGTACGTGACAAGGGCTAGGGGCGCCTCTCGAACCTCGTGGGTTTTCTCCGGGTCCTCCGGTTTAATCCCACTGCTAAAAACCCCTACGCGCAAGCGAATTATTGAAATAAAGTTGAACCATATGTTAGTCCGAAAATGACCTAGTTTGTGTCGAGTGGACGTTAAACCTCTCTCTCTCTCTCTCTGTGTATTATTGTCAACGAAGGCTGATTTTCATCATACAAAACAAATCTATTTCTGTCATACATATCCTAACAATATATTGTTTTCATCGCCAGATATAGTTAGAAAACAGTGTTAGTGTCTCTTTTGTGTATCTACTTTAATATCTATCTAGTGAAGGACACTTCCGTATCGGATTCCTCGATCGATTGTATTCATATTCCTGTTGGACGCGGATCCTACACAAGTTTTGCAATATATTGTTTCTTGGACACTGTATATCTTGAAGGTTCATATAATTAACAATCTGATTAAAACACAGATCATATTTCGTTTCGTGTTTAATAGTTCAAAATTTCGTTTTACTTGTCTTTACTTTACTAGGATCTGGAAGAGTTGTTACGGCGTTTTGGTTGAAGTGAGGGATAAGCCAATGAAACGGTCTGTTACGGCGACTTCTTGGCGTGCCATGCATGGAACAGTGAGTAAACCACTAGAAACGTCAACGCTGATTGATTAATCAATGTCTGACGTCGTAGGGCCAAAAGCCGCTCGTACGACCCCGGATACGACCTTCGAGTACAACTTGTCAGATCTTCATGTAGTGTAGGCCATCGAAAGTATAAAAAAACGAAACGAAATATAGATTTGTATTTTATTCAG